TTGGGCGCAGAACGAACTTTGGCCGCTTGCCACGACTACCTTGCTTCCCATTAGAAGTAAATTTTGTCACGGACACACGAGGATTGTAGGAATTGAAGCAATTCTAATTCAGGTAAAGTAATTGAAATGAAAAAATCTGTAGCCAAGAAATATTAATATATTTTATGTAGTGTTAAATAGTATCAATTATTAGTATTATACGAATATCGGAAACTGTCAAACGAAATGACGCTATTTAATTAGCCAAAGGACGTCTGTCTGTAGTCTTAAAGGCTCTTATTTATGAAACGGCAATTTTTTTCACTAAGAACCTCCCCGACGTCTGCGTAATAACGAGAAATTAAATTGGCAAGTACCTCCTTAGTATATTTTAATGGCTGTTATAATATGCAGAAATATTTCCACTGATTCACGTCTTATGATTTTATTATTAGATAAAAGTATTAATATATTTTCATACTCAATTTTGCAATAATAAATAAAAGTAATAGGATAAGATAGACACTACAGATTGAGAGGCTGTCAGTGTGAAATATAATTATAGACGTAGCATTTTTTATTTTTACTATACGTCAGATACCCTGTTTATTACTTGTTATTACTTATTTGAAATCACAAGTTTAATCTCAAGATAATATTAAATGTTATAGCGCATGTATAAAATACATCTCGACGTCGCAAAATAAAATGTATAATATTTTGCAATTCCATGTTAAGCATGGAATGGAGCATTCGTAAAGCTTTTCAACTTATATTAAAATTTTCAAAACCATCCAGGTGTCAAGATTCAACGTCTTGAAAGTCCTCGAGAGGATCAAAATGTATTATTTATAAACCTTAGATGTCTGTTCGCTGGAAGGAGAATTAGGTATTGTTCGTACTTAGATACATTTTATAAGGATAAGAACAAACTAAATACATCGCAAAAAAATCTAAACTATCTTCATAGAATTATTTAAAGTTGAATATAATTTTATGTTAGTTCTTTTTGCCATTTAATTAGTTTATTCAGTTTAAAATTTATTATTATTAAAATATTACTATTTGGTAAAGACTCAAAACCTGCTAAATAATGTTATATACGTTCTTTATTTTTTATCAAAATATTGACACGTACTGTGTTTAAAGCGTAGCGTTACAAATCTCAAATGGTTGTAGCAAGGAGACGCTAATTGGAAATACATGAGAAATTTGCATTTTACTTAGTCTTCCAAACTCCCTGCAGACTATCGTATAAGGAGTCCTTTGTTTATATAAAAGCTAATTTATAGCGATCACATTACCTTTTCAAACCATTAAAACATGCAGTTTTCTGTACCTAAGTGTAAAACAGTCTTCCATTTATTTTATATATTGTTATTGCTTAAAAATAAGCTAGAAGTTGGATATACATAATTTGAGAATAATAAGTCCAGGTAGTAATGTATTGGATATTGTTTTTTTATTGAATACGATCGCCATATTTCGTTTTATAATTTTGTCGACTGGATTGCTAGATCCGCCGAAAAAAATATATCAATGGTATGCACAATATTTCTGTGCTAGTTTGTACTATTTTCACCAAAGTAAAAAACTGAAGGTAAAATGGGAAATATAAAAAAATATTGATAATGAGTTTATAAGAATTTAATATTATTCATTTTCATAGACGTTTTCTTAACACTTAAGACTGTACAGTTCACACTATATACATAGGTATTAAAGTATTGTGTATTACGGAGATATACGCCCTCGGGGGAGTCTGGCAATCACTACGAACACTCGCTCGTTTCAAACCCATTAAGGATAAATTAAAGAAAATCACAATCTTCGTAGGCAAATTTAAGCACCTCAGACACGATATATGTTGTTCTATTTATAATTAATGGATATATAAATAAAGGCATTAATTATGTATGCGTACATAAAATTTCATACGATTATTTCTAATATAAGAGTTATAAATGTTGCAAAATGAATTGTGTGATAGATATATTAGGGATATAATATAAGGGACATATTAAGTAATTTGTCTTGCCCTTTCGCTCTAATGGCAGCTTTTAATATTAATTTTTTTCGCATAATCGTGTTGCTGTTTCAACCCCCGAGATTAATGGACAGTCTTCTATACCCTTGCTTAAAAAATTACTTCAAAGGGTGAGCTACATCATTGCCTCGTTAGTGTCACAACCATCAGTTATGCGTGAACCAAATGTGTTTTGGATCGCAACTCGCTGCTAGTCAATTACGAAAACGTTTAACGAAATGTAAATAGCTTCGGTAATGTTGAATATTGACTTGGTGTTTATAACAGCGGAAATATTGAAATTAACACAAGTTTATTAATTAATTATTACAGCATAGCTATTTATCAAATGTGCTATTTATTAATTAAAGCATATGCATATGCACATTGCAACTTCATTAATCAATATCCGGAGTCATTAAATTTATAACCATTATCGAACACGAGTTGAGTACAACTTTATTATTTCACATCATAAAAAGTTATGTTTTAAGTGGAATAATTTATTGTAATTAATAACCTAATCTCATTATAACTAAAGTGAAGAAAGAAACATTCTAAGCCCTATTTAAAATAGCGTTTATTTCATTACATTATATATAAATACGTATTAATTCAATAAAGCTTATTGTTCAAAGGTTTTGAGGTCTAATATTCTAGAATGCTTTTAGAATTAGGAGCACTTATCCCCAAATATTTCTAGCATTGTATGTATTAATGCCATTGTCTGAATGTATACGCAGAGCAAATATATATAAACTTTCTATTTATTCATTTGACAGGTTTAATCGTAAGTTCGCCTGTCAGCCAGGGGTTGTTAGGGCCCAGCCATACATCGCTATATATTATACTATTCCATTACGCCGGTCGTCGAACTTATTTTGCACATTAGGAGATATTTTACATTCCACGCTCTCGAATGTAATAAGTGCACATTGTCAAGCCATTTGGAATCAGATAATTTGAGCAAGAATATTCGTTGAAAGACGAAGGTATATATGTATGAAATTTAATTTCTCATTTATGTCTGTTATAATGTAGAGCTTAGAGAAAAACATATTTATAAATACATTTATGGACTACTAGCTTTCCGCCCGCAGCTTCGCCGCGTGGAGTTCGGTTATATCGCGTTTCCAAGAGAACCTTTCAAAAGTCTGGGATAAAAACTATCCTATGTTCTTTCTCAAGGTCAACTCTATCTCTGTACCGAATTTCATTAAAATCAGTTCAGTGGTTTAGGCGTGAAAGCGTAGCAGACAGACAGACAGACAGACAGACAGACAGAGTTACTTTCGCATTTATAATATTAGTAGGGATATAGTAGGGATTTGAGTTCACAAGATGTGTATTTTATTCAGAGTTCAGTCATTGACGGAAAACTCAGTGAATCAACCTCCATTTCTTGGAAGAAAAACGAGATATGGATGACTCCGCCATAAATGAAAGAGAACTAATAGCTGGAAATTAAAACTATCACTTTACTTTTACTTGTGTATGAATTATGTAAGTTGCTAGATTGTGGTAAATGTATTTTCGATCTTTACTAAACATTTGCTAGTTACTGATCTTTATTATCTACAATACATTTATTGCTTCAAGTGATTTATGTAACAATTTAATAATAGCACAAGACGATTATAAGCGGTCTAAAGGTATAATTATCCAATTTGAGATAAGATTAATTTATATAAACCAATAAGTTTTGGACTCAATAATGTTTTTTTCCTTATCTCAAGTATCCGGAAGAATCGGCAATAAATTAATATTACTGAGAAATCGTGATTAAAATTAGGCTAAGCGTAATACCATTATTGTATTATAACGCATGGGTGCGTTAGAATTTAGCTGAGAGCGGGTCGCGTCGCGTTGAGATACGGGACTTATAATAAAACAATATTAATTATCAATCGACGCTCCGCTGGTTCCTTTGTTCCGGACTTTAATAACAGAGGTATGCGTGCATTAAACCTCTGGCATTTCACGGCACTTTTGTTTAAATAATAAATTAGATTTGTTTACGTCTTCAAAGAATAACTTTAGAGCGCGGTTGCTCAACCAGTATCCAAATGATGATGCTTTGTTGTGCCGCTTCGATATTTATTTTAATTATTTAAATTTATGATCTATTTTTAAAAAATTTTGGATTGCTCTTATTCGTGTCAAATTTTATCAAACAACAAGTTATGTAGTTTATTTATATTAAAGCGATGAAAATATTTACATTTTGTCTTCATGAGATGTAAGGATATTTTTAAAACACGATTATCATCTGACCTAACATTCTTGTTAACATCAAATTAAATCTTATAAGGATATAAATAAAATACAAAGAAAATCAATCAGTTTCCCCTCGAACTGTCAGCAAAATGGGCGGAGGAAAATCAGTTTGTTAATGAATTCAAATTTATTCGTTGATCACGCGCTCGTCTCGCTACTAACGTATTTAAAAAGTGATTAGAAGTTAAATTGTCACAATATGAACTTTTTGTCCCCGCTACGAAACTTAATCAAAAACAAAATTATTCAATTTGCATCGAAATATCTGTCTGGGCGGATCCGTTTTTTTCGTAATTTCGAAGGTTTCAAGCACTAACGCTTGATCTGTTTACTTTTACTTTCAAATGAAAAAAAAAGCATTTGTTTCAGTAAGAGGCGAACAGAAAATTCGTATTATTTTGAATGTGAATCGAGATTAAATTTACATTGTTGCTTTTATGGCGTAGGTTCGCGTCTATTATGTTAAGGTATTCATGAAAGCAAGCTTAGCGTTTAGTCCCAGGGGGCGCTGGAAACGTAAATGCAGAACTGCTGCCACAAATGCGGAATCACAAAAGTATGTGAACACTGACATATGATAATTATGATAAAGAAATACTAGCTTTAAAATATAAACCACTATCTATTTTAAAAACAATATATTCTTGACAGTTAAATCAAAACATTTCTCTTACGAACGTTATAAAATATTTGAAATACTTAAGTTAATAATAATTTATTAATTCTTCTTATGTTTATTTCTAGGAGGCTCGAAGCTTGCTATCAAAGATTTCTTTAGAATATCAAATTCTTTAAGACTTCTTTGAGCCTTAACTGCTCTTTTCATCATTCTGATGTCTGATGAGAATATTTCATGTTCCACTTTCTTAATCACATTTTGGTTCATTTGATCGAGACGAGAAGTAAGTTTTATGAAAAGTTTTTCTATATTAAGCATCATTGTAGTAATATTATCCTTGGGGTCAACAGGAACATCGAAAAGGTGGCAATGTATGTATTGTATGCACGTAAACAATTTCGTGGCGTCATAAGAAGCATACAACTCATGAAATTTAGTAAATAGTAGTTTATTAAACTTAGCAGTGTATTCAGCTTCTTTCTCTTCCATCCATTTTACTTGTGTTTCATAGTATTCAATTAGTCCAGTCACTTCATTCGCTTCTGATAATATCACAGATTCTAATTGGTCACGAGCTCTAAGCACAGGCTTTAGAATTCTCGCAGAATAGTTTTCGATTTGCATATAATTCAGACATTGCCTGCTAATGTTATCGAATATACGCATAAGTGTTTGTGGTTTCTTAAAACATAGTTTAGGTTTTTTATTTGTTTTAAAAAAATCTCGATAGATCCTAATAGATTCTACTGTATTCGACTCCACCTCTTCAATCACTTTGAAAAAGTCAACTGAATTGCTTACATCATTTCGATTTTGCCACCAAATAGGAGATATTTCATGTATGAATTTACTATATCTGAACAATGTTCCAAATGATGAAGCCAAACTTAATATTCTATTATTTAAATGAACATGTACAAAACTTAGTCCATCCAACTGCTTCATCATATCATTAAGCTCAGCTGACTTAATTTCGGCACAATCTTGCACCTTTTTTGCATTATCGTAAGTTTCTCTTACGAAGTTAAAGAAATTAGTTGTGGTTTCATTATACAATGCTATTATTTCATCATAAAGTTTTGATTCATCTGCAATATTTGTGTCGATTTGTATAATCTGATCATTTATATAAGCAGTATTTGCTCTATATAGTGTTATATCTCTTAAGTTCCTCATGTAAACTTTAACGTCAATAAACTGCCTGATCGGCCGTCCTTCTATAATCTTATAGAATGTATGATCGACGTCACATATAGTTTTAAGTCCAGGAACAACACAGGATTCTGGATCAATTTTTTTCACATTGTAATCAGCTATTTGCTTATATTTCGGTAGTTGAAAACGAACTTTTGGAAGTGATTTCTTCATTTTTTTTAGATCACTTACCATAACTTTTTGTTTGCTTATACTGAGTGATTCCTGCATACGTTTGTTCATGGTTACTGTATTTACTTCTCTTGCCATTTTACGGATTACAATATTCAATAAATAACAATATATGTATGAGTAATTCTTAAGATATTAGCTAAACATATAACATAAAGACTAAATATTTATGAATGAATTTGCCTCTGTTATATGAACAGAGTCAAAGTTTTCTTTTGACAAAACACTCAAGCGTGACAAAAAGTAATAAAAATATTATTATGAAAAAAGGTTGTAGTTATTTTATAAATCGATTTATTTACTTATATTCCATAAACATCTTAATGTAAAATTTTTCGTTTGTATTACAAAACTTTAATTGATTTTATTAATATTAATACGATAAATGGTAAATACTACTGGAGCACATGCTTTATAACAATGGAATGTAAAATCAAAACGGCAAATTGCATGTTTAGTTATTAAGTGAGCAGCTTCCCTCAAATTATCCCGAGGGTCCTGCAAATAACGCGCTTGTCAGTCAAAGTGACGCCGCAAGTGCCGTGACTGACCGCAAGTGACCGACCCCGGATCCCTTAAGAAGTGTTGCTTCTGACACATCACATGTTACAAGTTTAAAGCGATTCACGAGTTACATCACTTCTAACTTTGTACACCGTTTCACATAAGTTTGACAGTAAGCTTAATTATTGTGCATAAAATTTTCCTTCTAACTTTGCGTTGTTTGGAATGGATAGCATTGTTTACGACTACAATTTGTTATTCAGACTGTAATAGTGAAAAATCATAGTTTAAAACGCATTTAGCTTAATCCTTATCCACCTTATTGTCCACTAAGTCACCAACAGTCACCCCTATAAGACTTTACAAGATATTTGTTAATTAAATAGACTCAGATATAACTGCAATAAATTCACAAAGCTATAACTCAGAGTTATAATACACATAAACTGTAATTGAATTTTATTCAAGAGTTACAACTTTTCTTAACTCGTTAGAATTTTCTGTGTAAATTAATTTATTCAAAAGAAAAATTGTTTTAAATCTTCTTTATGATGTAAATTTAGTTTCTAGTTTATAAAACCGTTCACCTTTCGCGAGAAAACTGTTGGCGGAGTTTTGATGATATTTTATAATACTTACTGGCTTTTTTATATTACTTTCATGCATTTTTTGTTGTTATTGATGACTTTTTTGTTGTATTATTAGCTGCATGTTTTAAAATGAATAACAATATTGTTTTTGACTACTATAGTTTGTTTCTAGAGTACTAGAAAATTCAGTTTTATTTATAAAGAAAATATTTAAGTACTAAGTTATATCAATAGTCATAAGAAGCTTCAAAATCAAATAGAACACTTATTATTTATTGACATAATATTACCTATTATTCCTATGTTTGGGCTTGTTCTAATGTATTTTCAAGAAATTTGTTGTTTTTAAATAGCAAGCGATTTTACAATCATAGTACTAAATTTAATCAGCCCCGAGCGTTTATGCAAATATGCTAATGAATTGATTTGATTAAGATCGAATTAAGATGAATTACTTACAAAAATATATTTAAGTAATATCAAAATGTATTTGTGCAATGTAAATATTATCTAAGATATATTAAATGTATCTTCGTATAAAAATAGTTGTTATTTATAAAATATAACTTATAACATTTCTTAAAACATCTTTTTATTTGATTTGATATTTTTTTCATGCATCTAGTTCTAAGATTTCTTCGGCAATCAAAATATTAATTATAATGTATATTAATATTGAGACTCATTATGGAATAAACCAGTGAATAACTACAATAATCACCGATGTCAATACGAAGGTATACTAAAATATTCAAGAATTGTTCAGCAAAAAATAGGTTTCCAAATATGTTGACATTTAAAAGAGATTAGCATCTTTGTATGACAAGGTTTTTTGTGAGGAATGTTCCTTGTAACTAATTTATCTCAAGAGATTTTTAGGACCGGCTTCTAAAGTAAATAAAACTGATTTTTAGCACTCATTTATATTTATAGTGTGCTTTGATAAAACAAGTACTATTTATTCCTGTATATAAATTGCAGTGATGCGACTCCCGACTGAGCGGGCATGACCACAGCCGAATTGAATAATTCAGAGCAAACCAATTAATATCTGCTTGCTTGCTGACCGCAGACGGTATAAGACGTTCCAATTATTCTTGAGGATGGACGGAATAAGTGACTTTAGGTTCGGATCCTTGACCGTTGAAACGAGGGTCATTTGTTTAAGCTTGCCCTTCTCGTTAATGCCTACTCCCTTCTTGTTACGCTTAATAACATTGATAATGATTGTTAAATCGTTTTAGGTAATATTATCATATAATTTATGTATTAAAAATACATAGTTATTAACAGTAATACATAGTTAATATGTAATAGTGAAAGCCGTTACTCGCATTGAAATGGAACCATAATCGTTGACAACAGCACGACTTCATCCGATCCCCGGCAATAAAGAGCGAATAAAAACACTTCTATATCGAAACGGATTTGCTCCGATATTGAATCCAAAACCCTTTGATGATACGGTTATAGCACTCGATGAATTTTATTAAATGTCTACTGCTTGGTTTAGAGTACATATTTTAGTTAAAATATGTATGAAAGACAAGTTCTTTAATTTATTCCCGGACAATAATAATATTGACAGGTTTTATATATGATAAAACATACAAAAGATTAATAACATATCTAAATTATTATTTTTTTTAAATTACACAGAAAATAAGCATCCTCTCTAGGATAATTATCGTTTGATAAATCTATAAAGACCAGTCTTTATGATCTGGTGAAGAAACTACATTTTTAATGACTTTTTTATTTTTCGTCAACATTAAATTAGCAGTTACGAATTTACCCAATCCCTAAGCGACTCTAATGAGATTAAATGTCAAATTATCCCAACCTTTCACATTTAATAATAGTATGATATAATCGTAGGTAATATATTCAAGCGTTTATGGTCTATACAAATTGTGATTTGAGTCAGGCCACGAACGAACATGGCACTGCGCCAACTGGTAATCATCTCTTTAATATTCCTTAGAAAGCTAAACTAGTCTTAAATATTACACTATTAGCCATGCAATATGAAACATTTATATTTGTTAATATATGATAAGTTCTAAGTATCTAATAGAATGTATGTAGTGTATAACTTGTAAAACAAATTGACAAAATTAGCATACTTATATATACATAAAAGTCGTTGAGAATAATATAGTAATGAGAATAACCAGTTATTGTAGGGGTTTCTTTTATGGGAATAGGGAATGGTGCATGATTTTTCCTAATCCGCAATCAAAGCTTTATTTGGGGAGGAGGTAGTTCTTAGCGCAATTTTGTCTTGAGTGTACGCAAACAGGCTGAAAATGAGTGGAGTGACTCCATGTTAATTAGACGAAGAAAGAGGTGACCATGATTTTGTACATTTTGTTCATTTCTGGCACTTAAAAAAATTGATAACTAATAAATCTATAAATACCATTAAATACAGTAACAAAGAATAGTACAAAATATCATATTTCCCACTGATACATTAATTGGGACATCAGATTCTATTGCTGTATTAAATTGTGAAAGTAACAAATAAGGTTAAAAGAAATGTCCTTATGAATGTCATGATGCTTGGTGCACCTAATTTAAAGCTACCTTTAGTCAGTAAAAGCCGGGACCACTCTTGAATCCGTAATCGGTGCACCCTTTCACGATGTCACCGCTTTTTGTAAGGTCGTCAAGATGCTGTGTCTAATTAGGAGAGAATGTTTGAATTTTGTGTTATCCTCTCGATATTCCTGGCTTCTTTGTATAACTGTCTTAATGTTTTATTTTAGATTTAAATTTAAGTAAATGGTTAATTGATTCTTTTTTGAATTCACCTAATAAAACTTTTTCAATAGAATAAATAATATTGTATCATTTGTAACTGTCTAAAATTTGGATAAAATAACGTGTAACGATTTTGCTAAAATACGTGTTATTATGTTATAATTACACACCTATAACAATTTCGCCAGTTCTAACTACCAGTTGCCAGTCTCGCCTACTTAATTGTTTTATAGTTTGTCCAGGCTCATTAATTAGTAGAACATTCAACTTAGAATTCGTTAATCAGATTTACTTCAAGCGCTTTTAATTCAAAGATCTTTAATTTATTTTTATCAAAGACTTTTTCATTGATCAATGACAGTACGAGTATCTTCTCAACATTTGCTTTTAATCTATAGATTTTATGAATAGAATTATCCGATATTTATTAAGTACAAGTAGTGATTATTTCGTGGGATTACCCACTAGAACTCGGGTGGTATGGCCAAGACCACTTCATGATAGTAATTAAAATAAGATATGTGTTATGACAGAAATTAAGTTGAGTAGACAGTAATGATCAAAAAGCTATTTAGGCCTTTAACGACCATAACGTTTCACAAACCTTTAACTACTAAGTTACAATACGCATTAAATATTCTATATTTAAATTTATAAGATAAGGTATACAAAATAATTTGTCCTTGATAAAGACCGTTAGAAATGTGTAAAATTGTTCATGTTACCTTTGTTAACTGAAAACCGGCATTGAAATCCAAATAGAAAATAAATCGGTTTGTATTTCACTTCGCAAACTGATTAATTAATTATTAGATATATATTTATACTTCATTCAATCAAGAAAGTTTGTAACGATAACAACTAATTTTTTATTTTTTTAAAACAGTATTATTTAAGACACATTTAGCGACTTCTTAGTATATAATTCTTAAATATAAATCGACCCGCAATAGATTTTAAATAGTGTATACATATTTCAATCTGATGATGATTATGATGTTTTTAAATATTTTGTATTGAGGAATATGCTATGTTATTAAGTAAACAGTCTAGGTCAGAATATACAGAGACTTGAACATTCATAAACAAAATGTGCATAAAAACACGTACAAAGGAGCTGTTTTATGTTTCTAACTTAATATTTGTATGCATGATGTACATTTTACAAAAAAATATAAAAAAGTATAGACT